CAAAAAGGAAAAAAAAAGGTAACATTTAATCACTTATGAAAATTATATCTGCAGTTTAACCAATGAAAGAGTGAATAATCAGAACTATACAAAAACATTCATTCCAAGTCACAAATTACATATGATAAAAAGAAATTCTGAGTTTCTATATACAATGTCAAATTATGTAGTAGCTTATGATACACTTCCCATTTAACTTGGCAAAACAATGTGACTAAGACATTTACATTCTAATCTAGTCAATTTCAGCACTGCTTTACTTAGTGGTTCTTACACTCTGCTTTTCTGAGACTGCCAAGAGCTGTGTATCTTTCCACAGAAAATTTCATTAGGTATCAGTACACAAAACTGTATATAGCTTCACCGGCCTCACAGTTCCCTTTTAGCCGAATCTTGGGTTAAGAACACCCACTTATAAAGGTGTCCATAGTTTTAATTTTCTTTTGATTTCTGTACATACACGTTGAGTACCCCTTACTCAAAATACTTTAGGCCAGAAGTATCTGTAGTTCAAATTTCTTCACATTTTGGAATATTTACATTATATACTTACTGGTTAAGCATCCCTAATTGAAAACTGACAATCTGAAATGCTCCAATGAGCATTTCCTTTGAGCATCACATCAGTACTCAAAAAGTTTCAGATCTTGGAGCATTTCAGATTTTAGAATTTTGGATTAGGGATACTCAACCTGTAATATAAATAGATAGATGCAGATAAAAGTGCCTGTGTGCAACTTAGGTTTTAAAATGCAGACTTTTCCCCCACCTAATAGTTATAAAAAATATTTAAAATACAAGCTCTAAGGTAAAATACCTAAATACCTTTCATATTTAGATTAAGAATAAAAATTACTTACCGAACAGTTTTATCGTCAGCTGAAAGAATCTGTTTATCTTCACTGCACCACAGAGCCTTTTTAATACCAGAGGTGTGACCACTAATTTCCTTAGGTTCTTCAGATGAAACAATTTAAAATATATCTGTTAATATTTGATTTTTTAAA